TGGGTTGCCAACTTCTCCCCATCCGCCGGGCCCGACCCCCGCCAGCTCGTTCCACGGGGCATCGCTCAACGGCAGCAAAGATGGGCAAGTCAGCGCGGGATTGTCCTGTTTGGTCCGCTCGCAACAGCAGCTCCTGGAAGCAAAACGGAAACAGACCCCTCCAGTCAGCCGCCGGCCGAGGAATTCTGGCAGGAAACCAAGTCTCAGGAAACGTCACGAGGCTGCGTCTGGCTCGTTACTTCCACTCGTCTGATTTTCGAGGGCGCGTTTCACCCAGCGGGGCACCTCTGTGGCTTGGGTGCGGAGAGGCCTCTTCCCGCAGAGTGACTTGGAGTCACAAGCAGATTTTTCAGTGGCAGGGGGAACAGCCGCCGGCCGAGGAATTCTGGCAGGAAACCAAGTCTCAGGAAACGTCACGAGGCTGCGTCTGGCTCGTTACTTCCACTCGTCTGATTTTCGAGGGCGCGTTTCACCCAGCGGGGCACCTCTGTGGCTTGGGTGCGGAGAGGCCTCTTCCCGCAGAGTGACTTGGAGTCACAAGCAGATTTTTCAGTGGCAGGGGGAAGGGGGGGCCCCCCTGGAGTCCCGTGTTCGGTACCGTGGGGTTTGTTTACAAAGAACATGCTCCGAGTGCTATGTCCTGGGATGGGGGGGACTCCAACGGGGGGGAGAGGTTCCTTTGTTCGTTGTTCCAGGCCTCTCTGCAACCAGCCCGGTGCCCACAAGCTCTCTCTTGGTTTTCGGTCTGCGTCCTGCAGTGTCACACGCCCGCGGCTCTGCCGAAGCTTGCTCCAGGGCGTGCACCCGAGTGGGGGAATCCCTCTGCTAGTGGGAAGGGGAGGGGTAGCTAGAGAGACACGGTGCAGCTGTGCCGGCTGCGTCTCGCATCCCACCCATGGGGGCGGCTGGGCTGACCGGGGCGGCTGGCCTTGCCAGGAAGGGCTGCAGGCGGGTTAGGCAAGGGGCCGTAGGTGCCTAGGCCTTTGCTGCAAGCGCCATGTGCCAGCGCATCCATGCGCCTTTGTTTTGAAGAACCTGTGCTGGCGTCGCTCCAGTTGGCTTGCTGGTCACCGGTGCCGGGAGGAGACAGGCCCACGGAGGCCACGCCCAGGCGGGCCGGTCATGGTAACGTGATGGGGACGTGGGGCTGCAGCCCAGCAAGCCGGTCCCGGGGCAGCCCGATCCGGGCTTCGGCGAGTGCGTAGGTGATGCCCTGCTCAGACGCACAGCTCGTCCTGCATGCCTGACGCTCCGCAGCGGTGCCCCCCTCCTGCAGCTCTGGTCCGTGGGCTGCCCTCAGGTTTCTGTGAGTCCATGTGCCTGGCACCAGCTTCTCCCACTGTGCCCCCCCAGTGCCAGGACCAAGGTTCCTAGCCTGGTGGCTACTGCAAAAGCCTGGTTTTCCACTGGCGACTAGTCGAGATGAATGTTGCCTCCAGCTTGCCGGAAGGGCCGAGCTCATTGGCAGGGCTCGTGGACCCGGCTCCGGCGTGATCTTGCTTTAAAGGTACCCTCTGAGCAGCCCCCGCCCTGCGGGACCAAAGCTTGCGACTGGCCAGGACCAAGGTTCCTAGCCTGGTGGCTACTGCAAAAGCCTGGTTTTCCACTGGCGACTAGTCGAGATGAATGTTGCCTCCAGCTTGCCGGAAGGGCCGAGCTCATTGGCAGGGCTCGTGGACCCGGCTCCGGCGTGATCTTGCTTTAAAGGTACCCTCTGAGCAGCCCCCGCCCTGCGGGACCAAAGCTTGCGACTGCCCCTGCGCCCGGCCGACCCCCCTCTGCTGCCTTGGAAGCAGCTGGGAGCAGCAGATGCCAAACCTCCCCCCAGTCAGGCCCTGCAGCACACCTGTATAACTCATCTATGTTTTAAATCAAGCTTTTAAGAGCATGCTGCCGGGTGGCGTGGGGACTAGGGATTTCGTCAGGGCCTCGCGTCTGCTGCGCTCGGCTATTGGCAGCTGCCGTCTC